CCTGAAGAGTCCATATGTCTCTATTGCCAATTGAAGGGGCATTGGAAGTGAAGCTATCCAGACTACCTGAGAGATCTTAGAGATGGTAAAGTCAAATTGTATGACTCTACTTAAGGTACATTCATTATATAACTTTATTAAGTTCCTGTTCATAGTTTCTTAGAACACGATGTGTAATTTTCATTTTGATGTTTTGCAGAATCTAAGAAAATGAAGGAAGATCAAGAGGAAGTAAAGGCTAATTTTGATCTACAAAAATGGATTTCAGTCGCATGGTTCGATGATCAGATTTTTGAGCTGCTACTTAGGAGTTATGATAGACTGCATAGGGATATCTAGAAACATATTTTTCATATGTATTTGCATTGTAAGGACAAGTTTTCTGCATTTTATCAATAAAGTAAAATTTGGTTTTATCTTACTTGCTTTATGATTACTTGTAATGGCATTTATGAAAATTGGTGTTTATATTTCTATTATTAACAATGTTGGAAATGGAACTGGTTCTTACTTATATCGCTTGTGATAGTGTTATAATTTACTAAGTGAGGAAGGATTCTCATCACCCAAGTTTCAATTGGACAAAAACTTGGAGTCATGTGATTTGGATTGTGTGATGTATGAGAATCTTGATCTTTGGTAAATTGAGACTAATTCCTTGTTCACATGTATATGTGAGTCAAATAAAGGATTAAAGGATCTAGTACAAATTGATGTGAATTGGTCAGATCCACTACAAAGGACGATAAATTCTATTCGTCATGATTTACTGTTGATTCAGTTAATATGGTTATGCTTACAAGTTTAAGTGTAATTTTGATACCTTGGAAAGTTTGAAAGTATAGCAGAACGAGAAGAATCCATTGGACAGAAAGATAAAAGTTTCTCCAAACTGAAGGGAAAGAGAGTACTTTAGTATCATGTTTTATGATCATCATAATGATTATGGAACCACGTCACAATTGATCCTCTAAGAACACCTTAGTGCATTTATATGACTAATAATGAGGAATCAGGTATTGTTGAAATGGTTAAATCAAGAAGATTAGTCATATTTCGTTCCAAAATCGAGTTTTAGAATTATACTCTAGTTACTCCAAGTTGTACCTTGAGTAACATGTTCTAAGTAGGTTTACAACACCTCATGAAATGTGGAGTAGAAATGTTATCTTTCTCTAGCACATTTGAAATTGGTAGTTTTGATGTTTTGATTAAAACAAAGAACAACTAAGACCAATTATATGAAGTGTTTTCTTGATAATAACCGACACTAAGTCTTGAATATTTGTTTGTCAAGGAATGATCCTTGACAGATAATCTTATATATCAAGAGGTCAGTGGGAGTCTTGTTGATCTTGAAAAATTTCAGGAGATAAACCTTTAATTAATCACTAGCACACGACCTAAGGTTGTTAACCTATCATGTTGACACATTCTTGTTTCTGTTCTCATTCTAGTTAAGTTGACTGTGCATGTGAGTTCCATGAGTTCTCATTTAATCGCATAAGTCAAAGTACATTGATCAGTGAAAGTACATTGATGGGTGAATAACTTGGAAGCACTGGTAGACCCTTGTGTTGTCGGATGACAAGAAATTAAGATTAAGCGAGTTCAGTCCATATGAGTTTAAATTTGTCATAAACCTTGTCTTATGATAGTGGTTGAAAATGACGAATTCACATGGATAGGAAAACATACACCATAAAATCTAAGTGACAAGAGGTTTTTCTCTACTTCATGAAAATGATTGAGAGGAAACACTTTCATGAGTATTTTTAAAGGATTAGAGTAGGTAGTTGTGGTAATTGCATTCTCAAATTCGAATATGATTACGACACCCCTTTTCATAGTTTGAATTGTGAGAAATGGAAAATAGTTTGAACATTCGGAGCTTATTGCTATAAGTTCTGAAGGGTTTAGACACACACATAAGCTATCTAATAAAATGTGTATGAGCTTGAGAAGTCTAGATAAAGACTTATCGAAGCGCCACGTATCAGAAATCTGAACTTTGGTAAGAAAGTCAATAGGTATTGATGTCTCGAAGTCCAGCTGATTTTTGGGTACATGTCAAAGCTAGTGGAAGCAGAATTGTTATGCTGGTAAGAACATAATTATTATGCTAGTGGGAACATGATTATTATGTAAGGTGTTGCAATTTAGCAATGCTATTTATAGGAAACAAAGTTCTAAATTTGCAAAGTTGCAGAATTTGGAAATTGTTTCGCTATAGCAAGGCTTAAGGGAGAGGGCATTAATACTTCATTTCAAATCTAAAAGTTTAGATTGAAGCTTTAATGGAACTTAGTCATGAACATATACGAATATCGTGTTGAAGTGATTCAACATAGTGAATTCAATATATGGAAATATTATAACAATAGATTGATCAGGTATCATGCCTTTATGTAAGACATTATGAATCAAATCCCATATGCTTCAGATATAGGATCGATTGCATATGCTATAATATCCACTCGTTCTGATTTTCCAAATGCCTATGGCATTAAGAGGGAAAAAAAACTGGAACCAGATATGACTAAAGTTGTTAAACAACTGTCAAGGACAATCTAAGGTTTACTAAAGATTGATTGATTGTGGATAGTTGGAAGTATTGTATTAATTTGGGCAGACCATATTGACATGTTCTGAATAGAGGTAACTCTTGTTCATAATTGATAGTCATATGGAAATATGAAAATGTTTCCATTATGGGAGTTGGATATTGAGATCTTTGTGTGAGTTAGTAACTTTAATGCAAGAAGGGTGTTCAAGGAATGCTCTTTGAATGTGAGACTTCATTTTCATGGAATTGTTTTTTTGGTAACCAATATACGATGGAATGCTTTGTAATATCATTTGCAAAGTCTCTGTGATTTTGGTGCTTTAACATTACAACATGATCATTGCATGTAAACATAGTGTGTATGCTTGGAGCATGGGATGACTATTGTTTTAATTCAAGTATTAAGTTGATTACTCGAAACATTATATGATGAATAAAGTCTAATTAATATGGTGATTAAATAATAAGTGTTTTATTTATATTCAAAAGTTTTGAGATCATAGTTAATTAGATTATTCTTGTGTTTCACTACGCATGTTTTACTTCCCGAATAACTGGGTTATTCAAACATCCACAGTCGATCATATTGTTGGAAGTAAGTAGTGAATTAAGACTATCATGAATCCGAATGTAGATTGTCTAAGAGCTTAGACATGAAAAATGTTTGATGTAGTGTTCATGAGTACTCCTGAAATAGGAATTTGAGTATTGGATTAACCCACGCTCAGTGCATTACTACATGGGTTTTATCACGAGTAATTCTGAGATGATAACATCTTATATTCTTGAAACATATACATATGAGTTGTACTTTATGAGTCGGTTGTGCATTGATAATACGTAAACGCATTAGTAACTTGATGTTACAAAATGTATTGGTGTGTATGATTTGATGAGTGAATAGTACAAGCATATGAGTCGAAGTTTATTCGTTCATTTTACCCTAAATAGGATAAAAGTGATATATGTGGGCCCCTCGATGATTTAATGATGACATCTTAAGAGCTTGGCCAAGCCTAGACTAAGTTGATGTGTTCGATGGTAGTATGAGTCAGTCGTCATAAATCGGAAATCAGGAAACAAATCTTGGACAGAGATTAATTATAATCCATGTCTCATGTCCATACGATATGTTGTAGAATGGTGGGATATTTGATCACTTATCTAAAGGACACGTAACTAACTAGATCAGAGTTCGACATCGGCTTTTGAGAGCTATGATTACTAATCAGATTTTGAAGTCCTACTTGTAGTTATAGTTATTAGACTTATCCAAGTGGGAGACTGTTGGATTAAGTGTCTAATCCATAACTATAATTGGTATGTACTTGATTTGATAGTAGCATGGTCCTTTTGGGTTGCCTTCACACTAGCAACTAGATAGGATGACTACTAGAGAGAGGCTTATTTTATTATTTAGAATAATAAATTAGTGCATAAATATGATATATTGATATATTATAAGAATAATATATTAATTATAAATCATATTGTTAATAAGTATTTAATCAAAATTTAATTTGGAATTAATTTTGGGATTAAATGAACGGATTGAAAGTGCAGGGGTTGTTTTGTAAATATTTGATAGTTGAGGTTTTGGTCCATTGGATCACCCTTATCAGGGAGGGCCGAAAATCCATAGAAGTTTCTATATATTTTCGTCCAAGCCCTAAGGAAGGGGTCCATGGACTTGCTTAGGCCCTAAGCTAAGGAATTAAGGTTTCCACCTTAAAACCCAAGCTAGCCTCAAGTATAAATAGAGCCCCTTGGCTCTTGAATTCGGTCACACTATGGAAACCCTAGAAGAGCTGAATTTTTAAGCAAGTCACTCTTCTTTCCTCTCTCTCATATTCATCCTCTTGCCCTAGTGTGTTTGTGAGCCATTAGAGGTACTACGCTTGTGGTACTTGTTCTCAAAAGCAAGGATCTTCAAGAATGGGTTGTTATTTTATATATATCAACAAAGGTACGTGTTCTAATCTTTCTTATGTAGATTTCGAAATATTAGATGCACATTAGGGTTTTCTATTTTGTGTTCAAGGCTTGTATGGTTAATAGAGAAAACATAGATCTAATCCAGGGTTGCATGCACACATAGGATTGTTCGTATAAAACCCGTCACAAAATACATTTCTTCGGAAATGATTTGATAATATCTTTATCTTATTTTTTGGGAACAAATTTTGCAATATTATTCTTTAAAATGGATAATCTGATTTTTAAATAAGCATAAATAAATTTTTTAAAATGACCGTGAATTTGGGGATGTCACAATAAGAGTTCATAGCTGGTATAGGCTTCCCCCAGGATGACACCAAGTCCGTAACCTCACAAAAAACAAAGCTTGCAACAAAAAAAGTCATGCAGAAGGAGATAAAGCCACCCAAAGATGATGACCAAACAACCAAAACCGGATAATGGAAGAAATTGAAAATCATCTTATGGAAGACGACCAACCCAGAAACAACCAATCACGGCTCACACACGAGTACGAACGCTGGAAAGCTTGCAGACTCATGCCGCCGAGGGATACAAGCCTAGGAGGAACAAGAAGAATAATTTGTCCTAATGACCTAGGAGCCTCATAGCCCAAGCCAATAGCCTTGGATCGAGGGGGATCAAGGGAAAGCGCTATGTGATCAAACTCCTAACGGATAATCACACCCCAACTAGTCAGCCCAAGAGCTAAACCTAGAATAGCCAAAACCGTCGGACTTCCGATAATTATTTGACAATGTAGATGCATCCAAGGCACCAAAAAACATGCAATGAAAAGAAAATTTGTTGCGAACAAGTATCAACATACTTTCGTTCGAATGGAAAATAAGAACAAACTGATCACTCGTGCCAGCCAACACAAAACCAGTGAGATAAATACAATCATAGGCTTTAAGGGCTCATCGCTTCTCCCTAATTATCATGTCGACAAGGTCAAGAGAGTTGCAACTCCTTATTACGACAAGTAAGAGGCCTTTAAGGATCATAACCTTTCCCTCAAATGCATAATGCCTAAGCTCTTAGACCTCGAGGTGATGATCTCGGTCTTGCTTGGACGGCTAAGGCCGAAGTACAACTCCCATTGGCCTAGGGCTTAGAGCAAATCCCAAAAGAGAAGGCTTGTAGCTAGGAAAGAAGCCCTAACAGAAATGAATGGACCAACCAAAGTTCACACCTACAGACTAGCTAAAGCCTCGAATCACAGAAACCGACCTAAGGGCGAGCGCCAAGGACGTCAAAACAGACGCCCTCCTCCCCCCCCCCCCCCCCCCCCCAAAAAAAAAAAACTTGTTAAACAAACGATAACGATGACCAATGCCCCCAAGGCCAACACTAGCCTTTGGGGAGAATCTAAACCAAGGTTGGCCAAGACAAATAATATGAGACGACAATAAAGGGGGAAGAAATGCGATGAACTAAAAGCAAACGTAATATAAAAAAAACGCAAAGTACGTATTATTTAACCCGGATAACCCTTGTGATTTTAAAACGACCACACCGGGCTAAAGAAGAAAATTAGACATTGTTTTAAAAATTGTTCAACAAACACCATGAAGATACAAATATTACCCCAAACATCAAAAAACAATAAAGGGTAAAAGCCATCACTTACTGAGGGGTGGAGGAAGGTCCAACGTGAGAAGCGCCACCTTCAGGATGGCCTTCCTCGGAGTCAGTATCATTGCAGATCTGACAAAGGCTCCCTATGTCCAGCTCACCCAGGCGAAGGTAGGAGGCAAAGTCTGTCTCCATGAAAAATTTTATAGCATCATGCATCGCCTGAGCATGCTCTGCAGCAACATCTAGTTCCCTGGAGACAAATTTTCTGGCGGCAACCTGCTCCCGGATCACTTGTTTTCCATTCTCCATGCCGGCTCCATACATTCAATCTTCATCCGTTTCACCCCCAATGCAAACTCAACACTCTCAATGACCTTATCCATCACCCAGACAATGTCTTTCTGAAGCAACCACACCAAATTCTCCTCTGCAACTTCCCTCCTCACAACCTCCGCCTCTAGCTTCTTATTAGAACAATCCGCCTGGTCCTCCAACACCCTCTTCTCTTCCACTAAGACCTCGATACGCTAAGAAAAACATTCCACCGACCCATCCAGGGTAGCCACTTGGTCCTCAAAAGATGCATTCTCCCCCGCCAAAAGATCATAACGCTCCTCGAATGACCGATTCTCCCCTTCTAATTCTAGCAACCTCACCCCAGTTTATCTTGCTCAACCTTAACTGACGCTAGCTCACTAGAACTGGAACCGCCCTAACGAAGGCGAGAGGTAGTCACCGTTAAATACGAACCAACATGCGCACCTACATATAAATGGTTGTTTGAAAGATTAGAGTTAGAAAGAAGCTCTAAGGACTCGATAGTAGCAGGAGGAAAAGCATGGAAACCCCAATCATACGTTGTCGCATGTTGTGAAAGGAGAGACTCCCGAGTTATTCCCCATCCTGGCACATATATGGTCGATGCTGCTGGAGGAGTGGAAGCAGAACCCCCGACAGTACCGTCCCCATTCAAGAGTGGGATCTTGGGGTCCAGAACACCTTCGCGAACAGGTTTTGAGTCAATGCTAGAAACATCCTCACCAAGAGTAGAAGTCTCCACCGACTCTTTTTTGGGTTCACGGGGCAGTTCAGTCCCCCCCCCCCCCCCCCCGCCTTCATCCTCTCCGACTGTTTTAGAGTGTCATCATCAGGGATGTTAACTACCACAACATCCTCTCCCAAAAGGAAATCCACATTACGCCTCTTGAGAAGTCGTTGACCCGAGGAGCTGGACTCTGTAAGCGACGAATCCAGCCTGGAAAGTCATCGTTTGGAAATCGCACGAGCACAACGCTGAGCCATCCCGATCGACGCCTCTTATTCCTCCGTATCGAAAGGTAAGGGATCTTCACGAGAAACACCCCCAAAAGGTGCGTCAACCAACATTTTACCAACTGGAGAACCAGACCTGAGTGCCGAAACAACAAGAGGGCCAGCAAGAGCCAAGGCGCGATCGGGACCGAACAATGGAGGGAGCGTCTCAACCAAGGACACCTCCCGATATTGGCAGGTGCCGTGAAAGCGGCCCCGCCGCACTATCTCAAAGGGAAGGATCCTATTGTGACTTGCAAACAAAAGACAAGCCAGCATAGTCCACATAATACATAAGCAAACATGAGAAAACAACAATCCAATAGAGGGGGAGGAGAGGTAATTACCATCTTTCTCAATGAAGAACTGAGGCATCATCCCCAAGCCCTCCAAGCAGCACTCATCCCAACTGTAGTCAACATATGATCCTCCCATTCCTCACCATTGAAACAAATGGTCTTCAGTGCTTGCACCACAGTGATGTTGGTACCAAACAGTTCCGATACTCGATCGGAAAAAGTAGTCAAATGAGGATAGAAAAAACCCATAAGTTTGCGATTTACCCAGAACCACCACTCTTGCCAGTTCTTCTTTAGATCTTTTTGGTTGATGATGAAGGCATGAACACCCCACCTGTGGGAAAAAGTCCGAACACTGGATTAAGAAAAAGAATTGGAAAAAGATTTGAATGCCCAAAATTATGGCAGAACTCCAAGGTTCTGATGGATGAGTTCAAAGCTAACAATCTTGTTGACAACGTTTGGAGTTAGGTCATCCACACAAAATCCATATTGGCACATTATCTCGTCGAAAAATCCTATGGTTGGCAGCCTCAGTCCAGTCTCGAAAATCGGACTAGGAACCCCGACCTTCTCTTGCGGCGGGCGAGAAATTATCGCCCCTTTCAAGGATACTCCATTCCGTGTTCGGGAAGAAAACCAAACCGCTCTTGAAGAATGGAGAACTCGCTTGAAAAGGGAACGATTTCGGTATTAGAGTCATCCATTGTCCTTCGAAGAGTAGAAACAGGAGAGAAAAGAAAAAGAAGTAGCAGAAGTGAGAAGACCAGAAAAGGGGGTCCGAATCAAATAAGGGAAGTGTTAAATAGAGACGAGAAGTCTAATCATTTACAAACATGAAAACCGTCTGCGAAAACGCCTTCGTCCCATCAGTAGTCGTTAGAAAGCCATCCCCACTGAACGCATGTCCAGATCCAAGCTAGAACAACTCAACTACCCTAAGAAAACTCTGACATCTACTAGCCTAGGGGACTTGTTGACATATCTGTCACACCCCCAAACCAGAACGGCGGAAACGTTCGGGGGCGGAGGACGTCATATTCAGTATCATAACAGTTCATAGAAAGGAAAGTACTCACCACCATATTTATTAAAGTTTCCAAGATGTTTACATAATTGTATTCATTACATGTTCAAAAGATAAATACATAAACATCATCCAAAAGAAGTAATTAACGCCAGCGCGTTAATCCCAAAAGTTGATTCCCAAACCTGCTTAGCGGTTCCCTGAGAATACAAGTTATTTCAAAGAAAAAGTGTCAACAATTAAGTTGGTGAGTTCATAAGTAGTTTAGAAAAATTGGATGCCATTCCAAAATGGGTGTATATTTTCCAGAAAACGCAGCATTTCAAATGTAAAGAGTTGTGATTTGTTGTGTTGAAAGTGAATGTATTAGATCCAGAAAATCCCATATTTTCCCTAATGGTTGAGATACGAGTTGTTGTGTTTTCCAAGAAAAACCCTTATTTTCTTATAAAAGTATGAAATGCATATAAATGTTCGTGTTATAAGTTGTAAATAATTGCACAGGAAAATCCCTTATTTTCCTATTAGTTGTTTGGTTTGTATGCAGGAGAAACCCTTATTTTCCTAACATAAATGGCAGTCTCTAAGACCGAAAATCGCAAGAAACCGACGTTCTCAAAAGTTGTGTCATAGTTTTATATAGTAAAACTATACGAAGATCGCATTTATTAGATGAAGAATAGTTTTAATAGCTACTCGTTCATAAAAGCATAATACCATAATAATTGTATATCCGATGAGTTTTATAACCATACTAAACATAATATGCCTGTAACGACGTTCTTCAGGCGTCGCAGCGTTATGACAACTGTCACCCCAAAAGACGGACTGTAGCTAACAGTCAGGGCGCGGGATCATGACTTCCCGTATAGATCTATACACATTTGACACGTTCTCCGAACGGGAGACTCTGGTTATAGACAGGACTTGCAGCATTACTTTCTAATAAAGAAAAGTAACGTTTGAAGATATACACGTCTCATGGATTCTCAACTAAGCCCGTATTAAAGTGATAGTTTTCTATGCAAAGTTTATCCTTTTTCACAATGTTTGACAAAGCAAAATCATAAGTTTTTAGAATGTATAAAACGACTTAACAATGAAGTTACTTTGAAATCATTATATACTTTGTATAATGTCTAATGCACGCAAAGTATGACAAGAGTTTTCCATAATAGTAATGAGTTCCAAGTGATTTATTCGATAAAACAAGTGAAGTGAAACTTTATAAAATACACGATAATAACCGTATGTTTACTTGTATTCCCCCCCTAAAAGAGTATAAAAGCATTTAAAATGTATTTAAAGTGTGTTTGAAAGGGGTATGAACTCACTTGAAAGTTTGAAGATAGCAAGATGGAAAACCGGGCAGAGTTTCGTCTCGGGAAATGGATTTTCCTCGGAAATCTCGGGATTCCTCGGGAGAAAAATCGACCTTCGGGACTTGCACAAAATGACCAGGGCTTCGGGGTAGTGCGAGCACGGAAAACGAGGTAAAACGCAAGAAAAAGGAGAGAGAATTGGCCATTTTCCCGGGAACCCTCGCATGCTATTTATAGGGGGGCCTGAGAGGCCTCGTACGCGGGGCGTACGCTCGTACGCATACGTCATGCGTGACCGAAGCCTCGACTGCCTCGGCCTCGGATGGGACGGCTCAGGCAGTCGGGTCGGATGGGACAACGAGTCGGACGGGCGGGTCGGATGCCTCGCATAGGGCGACGTGGACGGTTTGAGGCCAAGTTCCTCGGGTACGCGGGGCGTACAGGAGTACGCAGCGCGTACCTCGGATGAGGACGCTGACTCCCCTTCGGATAATACCGAAGTTTTAATAAAAATATATATAAATTATTTATCAAACTTCGAAAATTCATATCTCCTTCATACGAACTCCGTTTTTGACGTTCTTTATATCCCCGCGAAGGTGAGACTACGATCTACAACTTTCATTTAGATTCCGTTGGCAAATTCCGGAATTATTTTTATTATTTATTTATTAAAATGACGTGATTAAGGAATTTCTTTAAAAATTCATAACTTATTCATACGATGTCCGATTTGAGCGTTCTTTTTATGCATGTTTGTAGTTTAACGATATCTACGACTTTCATTTAGACACCTAAGGTCGGAAAGTGTTTTATTGAAACTTTGCGTTTTTACGCAACTTCGTATTGCCGGTTTTTGTCGGAAAACTTAGAATGATCATAACTTCTTCGTTATAACTCGGATTTTTGTGTTATTTATATGTTTGGAAACCTTAAGACGATAACTACCACATAGTGTACTCCAAATAGAGTTTTTGAATACTTCATTTTTCGATGATATTCTAATTCCTTTCTCAAAGAGGTTACAGGACTCGATTTTTACTGACTTGAAATAACGGGTTGTTACATCATCCCCCGTTAGAGGGAATTTCGTCCCGAAATTTTAATACAAAAGAAGAGTCTTAGGGGCTGGGGAAGAGATGTGGATACTTCTGTTGCATTTGATCTTCTCGTTCCCACGTGAACTCAGGTCCCCTCTTAGCATTCCATCGGACCTTTACTATTGGAATGCGACTCTGTTTAGTTCGTTTAACTTCCCTATCCATGATCTCGACGGGTTCTTCCACAAAGTTAAGATTTTCATTTAGTTCGATCTCATCGAGTGGAATTACAAGTGTTTCGTCGGACAAACACTTCTTCAGGTTT